AAAAAATGTGCTGTTTTTCTTTTCCTGAGGTGTGTATTTTTTTTTTTTTTTTTTTTGTAGACAGACAAGATCTTGCTGAGTTGCCTAGGTTAGGCTAGAAATCACTATCTTCCTGCCTCAACCTCCCAGAGTGCTAGGATTACAAGTTTGTTCCACCATGCCTCACTGGCATTTTCTTTCTTGTTTTGTGTGAAACCATAGACTTTTGAATTTCCTGCTAATGTACCAGAGATCTCTTTTATTTAAGTCAGAGATGCTCAGAAACATCCATTGCCGCATCTGTTAAACACCTTGTGGCAGTCTAGTTAAGAAGATTGGGACAGCCAGGTTATGGTGGTGCCTTCCTGTAATCCAACAACTCCCAAAGCTGAGGCAAGAGGGTCATACATTTAAACTCAGTCTAGGCAACTCAGACACTGTCTCAAAATAAAAAAGGGGATGTAAGTCAGTACTCCTTGGGTTTAGTCCCCAGTACCACAGACAGACAGGTAGGTAGATGGAGGAGAGGGAGGGATGGATTGCGGGTTGCGTCACACGGTATGTGATAACCTGCCATGGCTGGTTGCTTTGAGAATAATCCTTTAAGGTATTATTTATTTGCTCGAGTATTCATTTATTTATTTTTGCCCTTTTCCCCCCTTGGTACTAGGGGTTGAACCCACCCTGCATCCTCAGCCATTTTCGTTTACTTCTTTATTTTTTATTTTGAGACACAATCTTATTAAATTACCCAGGCTGGCCTTGAACTTGTGATTGTTCTTGCCTAAGCCTCTCAAGTAGTTGGAATTACAGGCATGTACCACCTGCCTGGGTCCATTGAGATACTTTTAGCAGAAGTTACAAAAAATCAAGCAACCAACTGAATACAAATGTAACTCTCTTCTAGTAACAAGAAGTCTCCTGGTAGCAATAAATTATTTTACTGAGCATGATAGAGCACTTTCAGGATTAGAAAATTTAGTTGTTCAGTGGTATCAAGAACTCAAGGGTTTTTTATTCTTCCATCTTTGCTTTGCCATTCTTGGTGAGTTGGCTTAGCTCCCTTCAAGGTCACAGGATGGTTGCTGCAGCTGCAAACTTCATATGGAATCAGAACAACATCCTGGGAGTGGGGAAGCATTGCTTCATTTTGTATAGCTCTATTTATTAACAAGGAAAACTTTTTGGGGTGTCTCAACAGCATTCTGGCTTCCTCTTATATGTCTGTAATCACTCACAAGGATAAGTGGCAAAGTGCAGTCATTTGGTCCCTGTCCCCAATGCATTTCATGTGACCATGGGGAAGAAGATACCTAAGCAGTACTTAGGTTCTTTTAGAAAGGAAAAAGGCAGATAAATTATTGGGGAGTAGAATACAAATTGTGTGCTGCCAAGGTAGTTAATATATTTTTCCCAGTATCTGAATCTAGTTAAGGAAGTTATAACTCAGAAGGAAGCTTCACTGAGCAAACAGTGGATGCTCCAAAAATAGGGTAGGCAGTTCATACAGGCATATCCTGTTTCAGACTATACTGTGAACTGCAGGTTTCTGTCGCATTGTGTCGCGTTCAGGTGTCTTATAATCACCATCAGTGACATCTAGCAATTTGTCATTTTCAGTATATACATGAAGATTGGAAACTTCCAAATCTTAGTACTTCATAAAATATCAAATGGTGTTTTCATATACAAATGCTTTTGTAGAATTTCTTAGAAATGTGTATTCTTCTGAATCCTAAGAAAGGTAAGTTAAATGTTTTCAGTGGTTAAAATTTTTCTATTAGAATTAATTTTAATGTTTAACACGGAACATTACTGGTTTCAAGGAGTCTATGACAAGTCAAAAACTGGTATCTGAAATCAAAGATCAGTGGGAGCGGAGAGAAGTGATCATGAATCAGCCCTGGTTATAGCTGTTGCCATTTATGTGTGTTCTAGACTCTGTCTTCTGCTAAGTAAATTTTAGTGAGTGTATGCATAGTAAGTCCTTTGTATGGTGTTTCAGGAAATGAGTTAATGAATTTTCTTCGTTAGTTTTTTTTTGTTGTTGTTTTTGAGACAGGGTCTCACTTTTTAGTTCAGCCTGGCTTTGAACTTATTGTGTAGCTCAGGCTGGCCTCAAACTCATGGTAATCCTCCTGCCTCAGCCTCCCAAGTGCTGGGATTATAGGCCTGGACCACCATGCCTGGTAGGGAATGAATTTTCATAGCAAAATGAGTCTCTAAATTGGCATTTTTGACATGTGATTCTATAAAGTACTGTAAACCTTGCTAAGCATTCTGAATGTTGCATTAGTCATAAACCACCCAATTATACCCATAAAAGATTTTCAGCATTTGAAATAGTTACTGTAGTCTATTATTCATGTAAATACCAGTTAAATAATCTTTCACACAGTAAAAAATTTGGGTAAATGTATTTAATAAAGAATAACTTAGATTTTGAAAATTCCAGTTTTAATTCTAAGGTTAATATCTTTTAGGAATTCAGAAACACTAGTGCTAAGTCAAACATGTACCTAGAATTTCAGGAATTCATTGTGGTTTTGTTTCAGCAGCAGTTCCATGAAAGGCCACATGGTGGAGGTGGTGCTTCACTGAAGCAGCTGGTTTTGAATTTCATAAATGAGTTTTTACTCTTTCAAGCAGGAAGGTTTTGTCGTGTGTATGTGTGTGTGTGTGTGTGTGTGTGTGTGTGTGTGTGTGTGTGTGTGTTTTCTTTACTGAAGGTGAAGATTATAGAAATCCCTATATCCAGATTCACCAGTGAGCCATGTAAGAGTACAGTTTTCTTTGTTGGATTTTAATCACAAATTCTGTTTCTTTAATAGTTATTTTCTATTTTTTCCTGAACGAGCTTCAGTAGTTTGTACTACATTTGATTTTAGCCAAAAGGCCAAGAAGCAACAGGTAGTGTATGTCTATCAAAGAATTTGTCTGTTTCATTAGTACTCTTCATTTCCTAAAGACAGTTCTTTATTCTTATTGCTGGGCTGGTAGCAAACGCTTATAGTTGCAGCTACTTGGGAAGCTGGGGCAAGGGGATGGCTTGAAGCCAGCCAGGGCAACATACTGGGACTCTGTCTTTTCACAACCAGAAAATTAGGGTTATGCAGGGGCTCGAATTTTATCCCTATTTTTAACTCCATTCCTATGGTGGGTGCAGAGCTTACCCTCATCCTCAAGGGAGTATTAGTGTTAAGATTTTCACATACGACTTTCAAAGAGGACAACTGCCTCTGACCCCCTGGAGTTCCTCATGCTTCTCTGTTTGACACCTGTGACCCTCTCCCCTCTACACACAAAGTACTGGAGCTCGAACCCAGAGCCTTTGCACCAAGCTACACCCCTAGTGCCCCCACCCCCTTCTAATATTGAGACAGTATCTTGCTAAGTCACTTGCTCATCATTGGACTCTAGTGATCCTTTTGCCTCAGCCTCCCAGAATGTTGGGATTACAGATGTATACTCCCATGCCCAGGCCCTAATGTCTTTTACATAAGACTGTTTGGTAAAATAATATTTACATCTATATTTAATGTAGCTATTTATAAAGATTGTAGCAGAAAGATTTTTAGGTTTTTCTGGGTCACTGTCTTTGTAATACAGAAATACTTTCTGTAGAATTTTTTTATTCAGAAATCAACTGATGCTGAACATTTATCCAAAGGAACTGAATTCTGTTATGTCAAGGAGGTCTCTACATTCTCATGTTTACTGCAGCCAATAGCCACAGTAACCAGGTTACAGAATCAGCCTAGGTGTCCATTAATGAATGAGTGTGTGTGTGTG